AATTCAGAAAGGTATGAGAAAAGGAAGAGAAAGCAGTGGAATTTATAGGGAGAGACAAAGTTTATCAGAGAGAAAGGGAGAGTGCAGGACTATGGAGGACAGGTCAGCAAGTGCTAAACAAAACTATGGACTTTTATTTTATTTTATAATTTTCTTATTTGGGATTTGATTTGGGATTCTGAGATGCAGTGGGAAGCGCTAGGATGGCAAGGAAAGAGACGAGCAATTGCTGAAATGCAGGACAGAGGGAAATCGCACCGACTCGTTTTGGTCTTTGTTTGTTGTATGTAAACATGAGAATTGATCTGCCTATGCACTTCCGTGTCAATTCAGCGGGCTACATGGTGGAACCCTATAGTTTTGTGGGGGGACAAACTTTTTCAACTTTGAGGACAGTTCTCATAATTATTTCCATTCTCCATATTCGATCTCATATATTTTTGAAAATGGGAAGAAAAGGATATTATGGTATAAAATACTAATAAACATTAATTCTAAAATAATATTTATATATATTAGTTTCTTGCACTTGGATTTGCATAGAGGTTAGGGATAAATGTGAAGAGAGTATACGTGATGAGAGATAAAATCGTCAATTGTGTGCATGCTGTGGCACACAATATTTTCTCAAGTTTGAGGCATTTTGTGTCATTTTTATAAAAAAATTTTTTGAGAAAAGTACGAGATTCATTGATTTGAAAGAAATGTGTACAAAATGAGGATAGTATGCATACATAGTCTCGCACCGAAAGAAAAAAACCTATCTTCTAATGGCCAAGCCACCAATACAAATTAAATAGCATTATCCTCAAATGAAGCATCTAATATAAATTTGGTTTTTTGGGTTTTATAAAATCTTGGGGTCTATTTTTGGAATTCAAATGACTAAAATGAAACAAGAAGTTAATGTAATTGAGAGAGGAAGCTTGGCATTCTCTTTGTGATCATAGAAATGCTTATGCGTATGCATGGCCCCCAAATAAAGAAATAAAAAGCAATTTTTTTCCAAAAGAAAAAAAAAAGGAGAAAAAGGAAATGGAAGAACATAAAAGAAAGAAACGTGTGAGAAGATAAAAGTTTGGTGAATATGATGATTTTGATTCCTTTTGAGTGAGTGGCGAAAGATAAGAACAAATTTAGACCTAAGCAAGTTCCACTTGTTCAGCAAGAAATGAATATTGTCAAGTCTATCACAGCTCATATATTAACTCAGCTATATATTAGTATATAGCAAAGGGGAATTAAGGGACCTCTTTCTTGTAGATTAATTGATTTGATTGTGATAAAAACTGAGAAGTTTTAGAGAAATTATTTCATCATATTGTAACATGGTCACGTAATTAGGGGCGTAGCAATGTATGAATACGAAGGAATTATGATACCAAAGCTTCAAAAACTCCTTTAAAATCTATATAAAATTTACAAAAGTTATGAATAATTATTCATTACTTTTCTGTTGTTCCCCATCTTGTGCATAGAGTTTTTAATTTGTATGTACTAATATAAGTGAATGATAAGTATATATTGTAGATAAACTTATTTTAACATTAAATAATTACATTAAATGACGGTTCAATTTCTAATTTCAAGGACTTAAAATGCTAATTAAGTTGCTAACCACAACGTTTCCTTTGTTTTGCATTACCGGCCCTTCACCGCGTAATGTTTTCTTTTTCATTCAAAAGCTTGAGAGTATTCATTTCAAACCATCCTTTTCAAGAAACAGCTTCATTTTTCATCATCATTCATCGTCACCTACAAGGCTACAACGATGGGCTCTCTCGTTAAATGGCTAAGTTAGAAATTTTTTACTGAATGGGCTAGCTTAAAAATTTAAATATTTATAAACAAAGAAAATTAATACTATATTCTTCACAGTATCAGCTAGCTTAAGAAAACTTTCACAATATGAGCCAAGAATTTTGGTTATTAAACAAATACGTGTTAAAATTTAAATAAATCCAAACTTGTACATGTATTAGAAGCGATAAAAAAAAGGATGTAAAAAAAAAGAGACGGTTTGTAAATTGTATTATATAATTTCAAATGATTGAACTGAGAGAATTTGGATTAGTGAAAAATATATAATGGGTTACATTAAAAAATCAATAAAAATTACATGTAAAATTTTATTTTTCACCAAAAGCTACTTGGGTTATAGCCTAGAGTAGCCCTTATTGTGGCTTCCCCAGTGCTCTGGCTGTATGCCACTACAATGTCAACCATCAAATCAAAGATATATTTGCTCCCAGCTGCATGAGAATGGTGCTTCTAACTAGACTGACTCTTTATTTATATGTAGCGATTCAATTTATATGTAACGGTTCAATTTTTTTTTACCGATTAATTGTAGTTAGTATGTGTAAAAACCTTTTTTTTTTTGGTAAAACAAGTTGCTTTTGCACGCCTCACACCGTGAATTTTATAAAAATAATATGACTCGTATCATGTTATAAATTGTAAGTTATCGAACAGTGTTTAATTTACCTTGAAATAAAAGAAAATGGTGCTTCTAATTTTTGGGTACAACTTCGGAATATCACAAACCATGTGAAGAAAACCGAGCAAAGCTCCAGATTACATGGGTGGGTTTTATATTTACATGTGCCCAATGTGGAGGAATTCGCTGAATCAAATGTTATCAGATTGTTGTCAGAGTTTTATTAAAATCAAATCTAACCGTCAAGAAAGTGTTCTCATTTTTTTTTGAAAAATGGGGATTCTCCCTTTAAAGGGCCTGTATATATATTACTTTCACTTGTATAAACAATTAAGGTAAATTATATAAAACTATCTTAATTATTAGGCCAGTTACAATTTCATACCTCATCTTTAAAAAAATTCAATGTCATACCTCATTTACAAATTTTGTCAATTTGTCTGTCAATTCTTCTGTTAGCTTAAGATGAGGCCCATTATCTATTAAAAAATTAATTAAATATTAAAAACTAAAAAAAAAAATTTATTTAATATTTTTTTTACATGGGGACCCACCCCTTATTCCCCCACCCCCCCACCCCCCACCCACCCCTTCTTCCCCTCCCGTCTTCCCCAAACCCAAAACCAGGAACAACCCAAACCCAGATACCACCCACCCCTTCTTCCCCGCTGCCATTCTGCACCTCACTCAACGCCCTCTCTCCGCCGCACCTGGAAAAATTGAGCAGCGCTCCTTGTTCCCTGGAAATCGTCCCCGTTCCTCCTCCCATCACTCCTTCCTCCGCTCCCCTTCTTCCTCGTCCTCCTTAAACACAGCTAATTTTCGTCCTCCTCCGGGAACAACTGATACACCGCCGATCGCAAAACGCAGGTGGATTTCGATGGCAAAGCAAAACCAGACCCCAAATAAGTGGGTTTTGATGGCAAAGCAAAACCAGACCCAATTCATCTTGCTCCAACAGTCTTTACATAAAACTAATTTGATTTCTTCATCATCATCAGTTCACTAAGATTTCACAAAACTGAGCGTTAGAAACCATCCCCTTATCATTTTCCCTCTCTTCAAATCCCATCACCGACTGGGGCTTTCGAAATTTTTTTTTAAAATTAGAGAAATTAAAATTTAAAAAATTCAAGAAGTGGCCATTTGAAAATTCGCCCAGAACTCCGGATTTTCGAAATCCTCCATAATATTAATTGAAGAATGGAAGTTCATTACAGTCCAATTTTTTTTTTTCTTTCCCCTTTTTTTCTTTCTTTTTCCCATTTTCTGGGTTCATACCAAGATCACCACTGCTACAGATTCGCTTTTCCGATGCGTATCTGTTGGAAAATATTAGTATTTTAGTTTATTTGAATGTTTGATTTTATAGGCTTAACCCGTTAGAATTATGTTTTGTTAGAGATTATGGTTAGTTTATTATAAATGGGATGCTTTGTTATTCATTAAAGAACAAGTTAGCCACAATGTAGTCTCTTAGAATTTTGTAGCCATTTCGGCATTCTCAGTTTGTTTAATAATATTCTTATTATTTGTTAGTCTTGTTCGTTGCATTCTGATATTCAACTGTATCAACCTCTACACCTTCTCATTTCAGTCTCCGTCCATTCGCTTCTCCATCAACCACCATTCGATTTCTCCCAACCATCATTCGAATCGATCCACTGCCGTTTCAAAGAAAACCGGATTGATTTTGATGCCGAAGAAGACATGTATGTGCTCGCCGATGTCGTAGCCAGATCATTTCGTCGCCACCTCCACAAGAACCAGGGAGGGAGTCAAAACACCGGATCTTTCCCGTCGAACAGATTGAATATGTGCCGATCTGATATGACGAAATTGTTGGTCCGAATCGGTGAACTCGAAGGCGGCGGGTGGACGAGGAGAAGGGGGACGAATGAGGAAGAAGGGGGACAGAGGAGGGAGTAGGTGGAGGAGACGATTTCTGGGGAAATGAAGAGCGTTTTTTATTTTTATTAAGTTTAATTGTTAAATAAGAATTAGTAATTTATTTTTAATTAATTAATTTTTTATTAAAAAGTGGCAAATGAGTGGGTTCCACTCCTTCAATATCATCATTTAACAGCTAAATTAACAAAAAATTTAATGGATGTTTGACATTGCAATGAATTCATATATGTTGAGTTATGACATTGTAATGTTTAAAATATAAGGTATAAAATTATGATTCCATCGATAATTAAGGTAATTTTATATAATATACCCTAAAAATTAATATGAAAATTAAGTCAAAGTCAAGTCATGCCCTATGGAGCATGCACATGTGCCAAAATTCTGGATACGAGATAATCCACCAGGATGATTGGGAAGAGATTTGATTGGAAAGTGGAGAATTATATACATTGTTTTAAGAGAATAATTAATAGCCAATAAAGGACAGAAATATACATGGAGGAGAATTATCTCCCATTCTATCCTCTTTTATTTGAACGGTTACGGTTTAGCTACGTCGACTTTTTATATTGATTTTTTTTTATAAAGACAATTAGACAAAAAATAATATGTGAAAGGAGGGGAGGGAAGAGATGAGAATAGGAAGAGAGAGAATTCTACTTCAATATACATATATAAAACTTCAACGAATGAGTGTGCCAACCACACCATTACATGATTTTATTAATTAATTTACATATTTTATATGAATATACGAAATAGTTGATGTTTTATGTGTAGCTACATATGTAGCAAATGTATATATTGTAACACTACGGACTGTTACACCCAAGGAAAACAAACCAGTAGACTGCAAATCCAATATTGTTGAACCACTTCAAAGATAGACATCCCTATGACTTTAAACTTTCCATTTCTGAGAGTTTTAAGAAGATTTCGGACCGAGCTTTTTCTAGTGCACTCGACAAATTTTCAGGCTTCCTCCCGCCTGCCTGAGCAAAGTTAGGCTTTCCACCGCCTCTACCACCACAAAACTCAGCAATAGGGCCTATGAACTTCCCTGCATGCATTCCCAACTGGACAACCCCTGGGGTGAATGCAGCAACCAAACTCACCTTCTCATTCCCTCGACAAGAGCCTAGAATCACAGCTGCTGGATCTCCTAATGTATCAACAAGATATTCCGCGGCTTTTTTCAGCGAATCAGCGTCCGTATCATCCATGGACTCAACTAGTACTCTGTGATATGATACAATTTTTTTCCCCAAAAGCAAAAACAATCAATATCAAAAAAAAAAAAAAAAAAATCTAAATAAGATCTATGTGCACTTTTAAGCTCAAGATACATATGCTTGATATAATTAAGCTCTTAGAGCATATCCAAAAGAAATGTCAAAATATCCAAATCAGCAATAACGGTAATAAAAGACAGCAGTAATGTTTTCCAACCAAGAAGCCAAATTTGATGTGGCATGACATAAAAAGACATATCTCCCCCTTGATGCCAAATTTGATAGTCTTAGACCATGTGCAATGGTGTGGGTTTACACCTAAATTTTTAGCCTAGAAAATTTAGGTTCTAATCTAGAAACCGTTTTTCTCCTCTAATGGTTGTGGCTTAAAATTATAGGTCAAGATTATTGAAGAATGATTTTAGCCTAATTTTTTCGGTAACTTTTCAATAAATAAAATTTATGATCCTAATTTATTTTTATGAACATCCTAATATATTTATGATAAATAATGAAAAATACTAAACCTACCCAATGAAACATGAAAGTCATGGAACACTAAATACTACAACAATTGCTAATACGAACAATAATTAAAACACTAAATAAAAATTAATAAATGATAATTTAACTACTACATAAAAATTACAACAATTACTAATACTAATAATACTCATCATCATTCGGTTGACTTGGTGGTGGTTTTGGTGGTGAACTTGGGTAATAGACATTAGATGGGTCATCATCCTCAATGATAATCTTTGCGGCATTCCTTCTTATAATTTCCGATTGCTGCTCACAGAAGAACTTCTTTTTATTTGGAGTGTATTTGTTGGGTCCTCTCTCATTACAACAAAATCAAACCTTTCTTGCGCTAAATGGTCTCTTGTATCTTCCCTTGCCGCTTCTCATTAAAGAGTAAGTGCATTCAGACTGTTAGATCTTTTAATTGTTTTAGCCATTGGATTTAATTTTGGTCCATTAGATTTTTTTTTACTATTAGATTTTATCATACATCGATCTCACAATGGTTTGATGTATTTATAAATTAGGTTTCAAAAATAATAATTTGAATATGGATCGTTGGATCAACCAAAACTAGCCATTTGGCTCGGTTTGGATTGCTGACAACGCTGTCAGTGGTGGGTCCCACCCACTGCAGCTTTGTCGCGTGTGCGTGAGTTGGGTTCATCAGTGCACCGAGCGTGGTCTTCAAGTAGGCGCGTTCATGCGTATTGGTGAGCCAGCCGCTTAACCTTGGCTGGTATTTTGGATGAAATTTAGCCTAAAAATAAGTTTTTGGTTTACCCAATGATTGAAAAAGCCTTGGGAGATTTAAAATTTAGATTTTAACCCAACCATTGAAAATTGTCTTAAGGTTAACTGATGCGGTGAGGGAGGGTGGGGTATAGGGTTAGAATTAGACTAGGTTCAGGAATTGGTTCCCTCCAATTTAATTGAAAAAAAAAAAAAGGGGTAAACGAGGAGGCAGATAAGTTACCCGACTGTTTTTGAACTCCCCACAGAAATTCCCTGGGTTGCCATTACTGATGCTTTGTGAACTGCTATCTTTTCTCGCAAAGTAGAAGCTTCATTTTTGCTCATCTGTAACTCCTCCAAGAGGTTGTCTACCCTATTTTTTGCTTCTTCAGCTTTCACCTTCACAAAGGCAACATACACAATAGTAAACACTTTGTTGCTTTCTCAAGGTCAAAACCTTGTTTGCATGAACAATGGTAAACTAAACAAAGAAAAAATAACATTTCCCTTCACAGAACATAGAACAGTAAAAGAAAACATACATTGAGGGTGGAACACAGCTGCTTCATATGATAATCTCTGGAATTGATATATTCCATAAACGATTCACCAGCCACAGCTTCTATGCGCCTGATTCCGGATGCTTTACCTTGTTCAGAAAGTATTTTAAACCCGCGTATTTCAGAAGTGTTGCTCACATGAGTCCCACCGCAAAGTTCCATGGATATACCAGGAACCTCTACAACACGTACCTACAATACAACATGTCGCACACTTAAGCGAAAAACTCATCAACCAATTTAGTTTGAAATATCAAATATGCAATATATAGAATGTCTCATCAAATGCTTTGAATACATCTATCTACTCGTACCTCTTCACCATATTTTTCTCCAAACATTGCAATGGCCCCTGCACCTTTTGCTTCAGAAAGAGGCATCACTTTCGTTTGAAGCAGTATTGCATCTGCAACCCAGTTATTTACTAGTCTTTCAATTTCAGCAAGCTCACTGTCAGTAAGCAGCCGGCAGAAGTTGAAATCAAATCTTAAACGGTCAAAAGCCACCAATGAGCCAACTTGTGAAGTTTCATGACCTAAAACTTTCTTAAGAGCAGATTGAAGCAAATGTGTGGCGGTATGATGAACCTGCAGAATACCAAAACAATGTTCAGTTTGCAAGCTAATTTAACAGTTATAGATATTATATACTTGATTACTTAATACCACTTAATACATCCATCTTAATACATCCATTTACACTGAAATTTCTAGTGTTAAATCTTGTATACCTTAGCATGTTGCCTTAGTTTTGCATCAACTGTTGCTTCCACTTCTTCGCCAACCTGTAGAACTCCCTCTCTGATTGTACCCTTATGAACAAATATGTTACCGAATTTTTGGACATCTTTTATCTCCACAACAACCTTATGTTGGTTTTCACCTGGAATATATAAAGTTCCGTGATCTCCAATTTGACCACCTGATTCTGCATAAAATGGAGTCCGGTTCAACCATATATCAGCATCACTTCCTTCGGAAACCTGCATGACCTTGTTCCCATTCACTATAAGGCCTTCCACTATTGCTGCTGTAGAAAGCGTAATGTAGCCAACAAATTCAGTGTTGGGAACATTTTTCGTAAGATCAGCACTATTTCCCATGGAAAGTTTGACATCAGTATGTGCAGCCTGAGATTGACGACGTTGGTTTTCCATTTCAGTATGAAAACCATTCATATCTATACTTACACCACGTTCTTCAGCCACTTCTGCTGTTATTTCGACAGGAAACCCATATGTATCATACAAAAGAAAAGCATCCTTGCTGGACAAGCAAGGTATATTCCCACTTTCTTTTGCATTTAATAATGCCTCAACTAGCATTTGCTCAAGAAATTTTTCTCCTCTCTCCAATGTCTTCACAAATTTAAGTTCTTCCCTTTTCAACTCCTCAAGAATATGGGGTGCTCTATCTTTTACATCCGGATTGATGTTGGTGCTCATCTCTATTGCTTTTGCTGCAATGGTGGCTAAAATTGCTCCTTTGAGGCTGCCCTGAGAACCCCCCTTTTTAACAAGCCACCGAGCACAGCGAACAGACCTTCTGATTAGGAATCGAGGGACATAACCTCTTCCAATATTTGATGGAACAACTCCATCTGATATCAGGTTTACAATCGCGCGTAAATGATCTCCTACAATCTGAAACAAAAATTTATATGATCAATCACATTTTATTTTGAGAAGCCATGTGTTTATTGACACAAATTTAAAAGAAATTGCAGCATCTTACACGAGAGCTTACTTTGAAATTCAATTTTGAGCAGTCAACAGCTGTGTCATATGACACATTTACAATTTCTGAGGTCTTCTCTATAATTGGTCTGATCAAGTCAGTTTCATAGTTGTTCGGAACCTCCTGAAGGATGCGAGCCATCTCGAGGCCAAGCCCGGTATCTATATTCTTCTGGTTTAAGGGCTCTAGTGAACCATCATCCTTCTTGTTGAATTCCATGAAAACTAGATTGTAGAACTCTAAAAATCTGGTGTCATCATTGAGATCCTGAAAAACAAATTCATCCAAAATGTAAGTAAACAAAAAAGCCTTTAAAGTAATTCAGAATTTAAACCTTTCCTTCCAATGAAAACAAAATGTAAGTAAACATACAGCATCTGAATGTCCCCTCTCTGGTTGGAAATCAAAATACACCTCAGAGCAGGGCCCGCAGGGACCAGTGACTCCGCTAGTCCAAAAGTTGTCATCTTTGCCCATTCTCTTTATGCGCTCAGCCGGAACACCCACCTGAAGATAAAGAATTTTATTCACATTAAACCGGAGTATTAGCTCGAAAAAGAAAGGCAGAGCTTAAGATTAAAGCAGAATGTACATGCAAGTAAAACGAAGAATGAAAGAGTGTATGAGTAGAAAACAATTCACCAACAAGGTTAACATACAAATCATACATAAAAGTAAATATAGATCGGGCCCCGTTTCCAAAGTTTCTCTAGAAAACTTCTGCTCATAAGCACTTTACTATAGAAGCGCGTCAAAAACAACAAACCAACAAGGTTGATATACAAATTGTACTAGAAGTAAAATATATAGCTCCTTTTGGCTAACCTTTTTATGCCAGATTTCAAAAGCTTCATCGTCATCTTCAAAGACACTAACCCATAATCTCTCAGCTGGCAGTCCAAATCTGAAAGAAATTAAACACACACAGCATGCACATATTTTAATTTTTCATGCCACAATAGGATAAAAAATAAGTAATTATAGTAAGACAAATAAATAAATAAATGAAAATATGCAGTGTAAGGAGACATTAAAATTTGTTGCATACTCTTTAGTTGAAAGCTCCCATGCCCAAGGTATTGCTTCCTCCTTGAAGTAATCTCCAAAACTGAAATTCCCAAGCATCTCAAAGAGTGTATGATGCCGAGCTGTTCTACCAACATTCTCCACATCGTTTGTGCGTATGCACCTTTGCGCAGTTACTGCACGAGGTACTTGTCTAGGAACCTTTAAAACAAAGTTTCAGAAGATATTCAAATTTTAGAGTATTTCAATTCAGACATTAATAAGAAAAATATCACTTGATTAAGAACTAGTCAGTAGGGATGGGCAAATACCCATTGGTTATGGGTAACCGCGGTTACCCGCCCAGTTAAATTAAACGGTTACGGTTATGGGTAACCGTTTAGATAAATAAATGGTTATGGGTATAACCGTTTACCCGCGAAATTTAAATGGGCGGTTACGGGTATTAACCACGGTTATAAATGGGTAACCATTTACCCATTTATTTTATATATGTAAAACTAACACAAACCATGTTCTCGATCCAATAATACTTAGCACCCAATAAATTAGCAATGAATTTATCGGTCATTCTCTCAATAACACTATTACAGGAATGATGATTCTCATCATCAAAGAATTGGCCAAATTAATTTAAATTCCTTGCGGGTAACCGTGAAATTGACAGAAATGCTTTGATAGAAATTTCTTCTAAACAATTTTTGTAACCCAATAATGCTTAGCAAATATTATATTTACCTTCATTGGTAACATTTAAAAATATCGTCCGTAAACTATTATTTCAATTATTGGAATGATATAAGGACTTAAACAATTAAAACATGGAAATGTATGATGAATGTACCCATAATGGTGTTTAATTGTCAAAAAAAAAATTATGACAATTTTTTTTTTAATTTTCAAGTTGTTAAAAAACATGTAGACGGGTGAAAAAAAGGTAATGGTAAAAAAAAAGAAGACAAACGGGTTAAAAAGGATAAATGGGTAAACGGGTATTAAACGGTTACAGTTAAATGGCTATGCGGTTATGGGTATGGTTAACCGTTTATAAACGGTTATGGGTATGGGTATAACCGTTTAGACAATTACCCAACGGTTATACGGGTATGAGCATAAACGGTTATGGGTAAATTAACTGCGGTTACCCGCCGCATAACCATTGCCCATCCCTACTAGTCAGTACGAATTTATTTAGCAATATTTTTGTTTATTAATCTATGAGGTGTCCGTGACTTGACCAGCTTAGACAGATTAAAATATAAATAAAGAAAAGATATGGTATCTTTTAGTTGACCAAATCTGAAAACAAGAAATGAATTTGAACAACCCAAAGATACAAGGAGGAACAAACTACGCCGGAAAATATAGGATGACATTTCCGACAAATAGAAGAGCTTATAAGATAACTTTGTTATTATGATATCAAATTTGAAGGATATATATATAAACCATTAACAACCATACCTGACCAAGGAAAATAGGCTTGAATTGGAGCATTCCAGCAATCGTTAATAGAACTGTGGGATCATCTGGCACAAGAGATGCACTCGGAAGAACCGTGTGACCCCGAGAAGCATAAAAATCCAGGAAACGGCGTCGTATGGAATCACCACTCACACGGTGATGGAGATCCTCCTCCATTTAATTTCAGCTCTCTGCTCTGTTTAGTTTTGAGTTTGGGGTTTGAGCGACTCTGGTTCTGATTGGTAATTGGGAGACTTAGTATGTGTGCCTGTTATGTTTGTTTTATATGTCTCTCTGTTTGAAACATCATCACTTCGGACTTGTGGACCAAGAAACAAAATTATTAGTTATATCATAAAAGTTTGTTTGCTTGTTTTTACCTGAATGAAAAGATATATTTTTGGAAAAAAAAAATACAAAGATATGTTCATAACAAAGGGATTAGTAAAATAAATTGGCTTGTGGACCAAGAAACAAAATTATTAGTTAGGAGAAATTAGGTTCTCATTTCTTTTTTTTTCAACCACATTGATTGAAACCTTATTTCTTTTCAATTTTTTTTAATCAAGGTCCCTTGGTTTTAATAAACGTCATTAATTATTTCAATAATAAAGTATTTTACATGTCAATATAATTAAAATTTATTTCTAAATATATTCATTTAGTGTTAGAAACGTTACATTTGATATATTTATATTTATGATTAAATTTGTATCATTTATTTTTATTTTTAGTTTGCACCCATTTTTGTAACTGCCCGTCCCTAATTTTACGATTTTAATATTTTTAAAGAAGTGAATTAACGAAAATGCCCCTATAGGCGAGGTTGTTGACTTTCGTTGGCCGTCGTTTCGTGACATGTACGAGTTACTATTTTACTGTATTCTCGAAGTACTTGACGGTACAAACGCGTAGGCGCAAACGGAATCGAAATCGAAGTTACGTGGAGGTTTTCCAGAACTACAAATCCGAAAAATACTTTTGTAAAAATACTATTTATTATTTTATATATTTTTTATAATTATTATATTACTTTTGTATCAATATTTTATTATAATATAATTATTTTAATATTATTTTAGTGGATATTTTAATAATTTAGTAATTTATTTTGACCTGTGAGTGGGTCTTTGCTTTTGAATATTATATATTTATTTAGTTTCCACATATATACTTAATAAAGAATTTTCTATGTATACCTAAATTAGACTATCGTTTATAAGAATTAGTGAAATGACGGAGTTTACAAAATTATGTAAATCTTACGGGATGCACATGTGTGTGAACTATTTTGGGATCTCAGTTAGGGCCATGATTGACATTTTAATGAATAGTATTATGTCGACTCGAATTATCGATTTACCGTTGGACGATCATATTTATATTATTTGCTCATCATGTGCTACACCGGTGTCAGTACTCGCCCAGGCCAGGGTCATGCTTCACGTGTATGTTCACATCGCACTGCACACTCACTTTGGATCCATTGTAGGTGCTAGTCTTGTCCTAGATTGCTATAGGCAATTAGGACTCGTATGTTATGTACATAGCGTAGTACTAGAGCGTAAATCATTATTACACCCAGTCCTGTTCATGTCAAAATATCTCTACATGAACTCGTGTGTCAACATATGTTGATGAGCACTCGATATGATATATTTGTTTATGGAAGATTATGTGATTATTGGACGTTAGATGTTTATTTACAAAACATTGTGATGTACCAAATTCTTGGGATATTGCAGGCTACGGTAAGTAATTTCATACTATACGTAGTATGTATATTTTGGAAACTATAATTGTTTTACAACGAGGGGTTATTATGTTTCCGAAAAGACTTTTACAAAACTTTATTTTTAGGCCCACTCACCCTTGTTTTTCGCCCCTCCAAGTTTTAGTAGCTAAGTTTTCGTATCGATGAGAGGATTCTTGGCAAATCTTGGTATTGGAGGCTACCTTCGATGATACAATTCTCAATCCATTCTATTGTACTTTACTTATGCTCTGACGTCACGTGGGGAGGGTTCATTCCCGCTCACTGGCGCATTCTTACATTTAGGCACTTTTAGGTTTAAATTTACTCACATTTTCCACATCACTACACTTTATGGCTTCGTCACCCTCTGGGTGTCGCCCAACACAGCTCAATTTGGAGTCCAAGTAGACATTCTGGGTCGGTGTGACGACCCTTCCCTAATTTTCCATGTAATTTCCTTCCCGATTGTGTAAAATGACGATTATGCCCTTATTGGTAAAGTGGAACCTGACATGGACGTAGTTATTCAGCTTTTAATTTATTTTTCTTATTCGTAATTAAATAGTACTCGTTGTTACGAATGCGTAACTGCGAGTTAGACCCGAATCAGATTTGTAACGAAAAAGTTACGCTTAGTTAAAGTGTGTTAACGACAGGTAGAATTGTACACGTGTGTATTAATTATTTAGTGTTAGAACTATTTTTTTTGATGAGGTGAGCCGGATTGTGTAATTTTAAATTGTACCAAATCTTATCACCTACTCTCTTTAAAATTTGTCCTGTGACCCTCACCACTAATCAGATTTTTCCCCATTTCTTCTCACCCAATTAGAGACCTCCTTTTTGTCCAATCAAAAGTCTTCCCTCTTTCTCTCTTTTTCTTTTCTCCTTCACGTCGAGTCTCTCTCTTCTCTCTGCAACACAAACACCATCATCAAATCTTATAGATTGGACCTCAAACCACCACCATCTTACTTCTCTCATCCCCACGAGTCCATCTGTACAAACTGATCCTAAAATGGTTGAGTTTTGAGTTTCCAACCCGGAGCAACTTGGACCTTCGACTCGGGGGTGGAATCTCCGACGATTTCTAGCTCGTATTACAAGGTTTTGGGAGATTTGGAAGCACCTACTCAACTCCCTGTGGCCACTAAGTTGGAATGTTGAATTAATAAAGCACATAATTCATACACTACATAAACTTAACAATCATATCCACCATCTTCACTTGGTGATGGACTTCGTTGAAATGTTGGGATATAGGGTTCAGATGATTTATCATCTTGAAACATACTCCATGAGGCAGACTTTCGCATAATTTCCTTTTGCTTATCACGTAAGAACTTCTTCCTCTCTGGAGTGTATTTGCTAAGGTCCTTCATCATGAATTCAATTTCAAACCTATTTTCCTCCTTAACCGAGATTTCCTTCATTTGCAAATGCATTTGGGCCGCTTCTTCTTGGCGAGCGCTATGAGTTTCGTGCAATTTTGCAATTCCGGTAGCAAAGTCTCCCCTCGTCGAATCTTGGGCCTTCCCTTTTCTCTTTGCTTTCTTTTGCTTATCTCTTCTTGGGGGCCTTGCTAAAGAAGGAGATGGGGTCATTTCATCGACACCTTCATTTCTCGGTGCAGCTTCACGTTGAAATAATCTTCCCCATTGTTGGTCTGTATCGGTTGCCCACCTTGGACAATCCTTGAGGACATCCCAAGCATGTTGCAACTTAAAAACTTGATTTTTTGGTGTTACTCTTGTCTTGTAAATTTCCATTGCTTTGTCACCTTATGCAAAAAATACATAAAAATAATTAGTACAAAATAATATTATGTACATGACAAATAAAATATCAAGAAAAAAACTCACAATTTCTATGGCGCTCCTTCCACTAGGCATGCCAACCATGGCTCTGTCCAAGCTTCTCTTCCATAAAGTGCATGCTTTGTTGATAGTCTTCCACCGATCATAAACACCACCACTGTCCCGCCCGCCGCCGTTGTAGTTTTCTTGAAACTTTGCAATGATTTTATCCCACAAAACCTTTTTATTTTGATTTGTGCCAACTGCACCATCTTCGCTAACAGAAACCCATGCCAAGCATAAAAAAACATCTTCCTCACAGGTCCAATTACGACCTCTAACATGCTCTCTTGCCATGTTGAACAATTTGGAAATGGAAAGAAATGGTAGAAAGATAAATTGGAAGAATTGTAGGAGAAAATTGAGTTTTGTGTAGATGTTTGAACAAATACATAGGTATTTATAGAGTTTTTGGGTAAATTTTATGTTAAATAAATTTATTTAATTATTTTAGCCGTTGGATTTTAATTTGGGTCGTTAGATATTTTTTTTTATCGTTAGATTTGAGTATATTCAATCTCAACCGTTGGATTCAATGTATTTTAAAATAACATATTTTTTAAAAATGAAATTTGAACATGAACCGTTGGATCAACCAACGGTCCTTAAAAGATGGTCGTCAGATGTAGAAAAGAGCCGTTGGGCTCGGGCAAGTGGGCGACAAGGCCCTGACGCAGGGGTCCCATGCTGTCGGGACGTGATGCCAACCAGCCCGCGTGGGGCGCGTCCGCCAGTGACCGGGCCGAGACTGGCCCAAAATCAGGCGAGTCCACGCGTGTTTGGGAGGAATTTGGCCCAACTTTAGCATTTGGCTTTTAGTCCAATGTTTTAGCTTGGGTTGGGTGGTGTTTGGGGGGAAATTTTGGGGGGAAATTTGGCAAATAACCCAGGGTTGAATTTGGTCTAAGTACCATTTGCTTTTATGTAAAATGTACCCCCTTTTTAATGTAAGAAGTTTTTTTAAAAAAAAAAAAATCTGAAATGTACTCATTGTTATTTTATATAAAATGTACCACCTTTTTTGTATAAAATTTACCCATTTTTTTAATGTAAAATGTCATTAAAATAAGTAATGACAAATCATGGATTTTATTTAAATATAATTTATCTTAAGGACAAATCATGTCATTAAGATAAATTATACTTTTTTATATATAAGTATAATTCATTTTTTAATATTTTCAATCCCACCATTATGGATTTTATTTAAAATCTCATTAATATTAGTAACTACAAATATCAAATTATAATTTAAAAATTATAATAGCCGAAATGCATTATTGCATTAATTTTAGAGACTTAAAAAATTGAAAACCAACAAGGTTTCAGTCAAATAACGTTGATAAACAAGGACCTCATCCAAAGGCAACCTATTAGTTAAACCACAAAATAAATTGGCATCGAACCTACCTTACGAGATTCGAACCTAAAACCTTTAACTTATAAGTGATGAGGAATAGCACTGACTAGACCGTAATGAAATTCGTAACTTGAGAGATTGAAAAATCTAAAAGAAGATAATTGATTAGTTGGTTTTTAACATTTGTTAGTTTTGGTTTTAGGGTTTATGAGTGACTCTGGTTCTGATTGGTAATTGGGAGACTTGGTATATATGTGCGTGAGACTATTATGTTTGTTCTATTGTTCGTCTATCTTTTTGAAAAGTCAACACTTCTGACTTGCGGACC